GACATCAGTCTCCATTTGCTAATCCCATTTGCGTCCTAGGAGCTTGGATAAAGATCTTCTTTCATTCCAATTATTAGAAAGCTTCGGGCTCGTAAAAATAATTGACCCAACACTCTCCCAGAAGGGTGACGCGTTATTTCACCGTAACTTGACTAACTTAAGCTACTGTCCTTTCCCTGGGATCGCTGGGCTCACAGATCCCGACTCTGCTGTTTTTCTGTGGGGAGACCCCGAGAAAGGCAAATCCTTTGACTCTAGGGATGGAATGGGCAAAGCCAGGATGACTTACTCGTCTCGGGGAACTGTTGGGAGGACTAATACAACAGGATGTCCTCGTCTGACACACAGCAAGACCAAAGACCGGTCCCTGGTATCTTCCCAAGGTGGTTCCCCAGGGTCCCCCCCCCCCCGAGAAGGGGCGTAACGCAGTAAGGAGCTGACTGCTAAGCGAACCCCAGGATTGAACGGTGAGGTACTCAAAGGAGAACACTCAGAGCCCTTCCGCCTTCGGAAAAGACGCGGGATTGGGTAGAAGCCGCCACAAAGCCAAGAAAACGCGCGCAAGTGGCTGGACGGGACTCGTATTGACCCGCAGACAGCAGCGCCGGAACGAAGCTCCCGGGATCGGGTTTCTTCCCTTCCGGCGGGACTCTGTGCGGAGTGGACCCGCGTGAACACAACTTCCGGCAGGGCTAAGCAGTATCCTGAGCACGTTAACTTGCCGCTGAGGCGCCGCTCCGGACCCGGGAGAACGAAACTGTGGTGGTAGAGGAGGGAAGCTGGCTGCCCGCGACCATGTGGAGGCTGCTGTCTCGCGCCAGTGCGCCGCTGCTCCGGGTGTCCGTGTCAGGTCAGAAGTCCCTTTGGGTCCCTAAAGAAGACTTCCCCCTTCTCCCCCCCCCACCCCCGCGCCCTCCAGTGTTGCCTCTTCCAAATCCAAAAAACGGTGCTAGCTGCAGCTGGTTGGGGGCTGCCCTTTCCCGCCGCCACCTCCGCTCTAGGGTTCCGTACCAAAGGGGCACAGCCATGTGGCGGGGTGGCTCCAGGCTGACTTCTTCAGGGAAGCCTGAGCGCCCATTTAATGGAACCCTCTAGGCGCTGTTAAAAGTACCTTTAGCTCAGCCTTTGTCCCCTCGTTCAACTTTATTTGTCTTTGTAGATCCTAGGGCAGCCCTGCCCGCCAGTGCTGGCCTAAAGACTCTGCTTCCGGTGCCATCCTTTGAAGGTGAGAGTTTGTCTATCACTTTCCTCTTGGTCTTTTCTCTGATGGAACCCAGTAGAAAGTAGAAGACATTGGGTGTCCTTGTGCCATCTGTCCCTATTCACTCATTCAGTAAATAATGCATTGAAGGCATACTATATTGTCGGTGTTCTAAACACCAGAGGTAAATAAAGAGGGGCCATAAAAGTTCCCCGCTCTTAATGGAGCAAAAAGCCAGTGGGTAGTTCCCCTATAGCCTATTCTTGCTAATTGGCCTCAAATTTGGACTTTTGATGTTCTCTCCAAAGGTAATTACATGTATGCAATCATTTAACAATATTATGTAAAGTGCTAATGTATTAAATATAAAAATTTACAATAAGCCTCAGTTTTGTAAACTAATTTGCCATTCTTTTTTAATATACTGGAAATCTCAGAACAATGAAAGGCATGTGGCTATCTGAAGATCTTCAACGTGTAATTGTTAAACCACTTTATGTTCTGGGATGTACATACTGACTTACAGTCAAAAGCATTACCAAGTTCATTTCTAGCTGCATGAGAAAGCTGGGAGGCAGCTTTTATAACCTGGAATAGTAATAATTTTATAATTCCACTGATAATTATATCAAATATCATTCTTTGAGGTCTCCTCTGTTTTATGATTCCATCATGGAGCCATACTTGTTTTACTACCGAGATTTTTTTTACATAAATGACAAGATGTTTGATTCTCTACCCCTCAAATTGCCAGGGAAAGAGGATAAAGAAGTCAAGTGTCTGGTCTGAGGTTGTGCCCACCCAACCTCACCCAGTACACTGGGGCACAGAATAGGAATTGTGCAGGTCTCAGCATAACAGCCTCTACATATATCAAAGACAATACATTGATTGATAAGATTCCTAAGTTGTAAGTTTTCCAACAAAAACGTGGCAGAGATGAAGAACTTAGTTATTTTTATATGCAATAAAATATGCTTTTATCCCATTAACATCCAGAGATGCAGTAAACTATTTTTTTAAAAAGAATCATATTGTCTGGCTTTGCTGTTTTAATTGGATAGTCTAGACCAAATTACAAAACATCTCCAGGCCTAAGGTTCTTCATCTATAAATTAGTGATTAAAAACACTTTCTACCTTAAATTATGTTTCTTGACCTGGGTGATAGTGATGTATTTGTCTCATGAATTCACTTTCAGATAGTTAACTGACCTTTATGTGTGTTAAATGTTTAAAAAAAAAATACCAAGGCTATAAAAGTGTTGTGAAGATTAAGAGAAATAATGATTTCCAAACAGTTCCTTTAGTAGGTATTAACCCCCGAGTGGGGTTAAAAAATGCACATTAGCTTCAAGGTTAAAACTTTGCTATCTTCAAAGACTTAGAAGCAATTGCGTTAACCATTGTCAATAGCTGGAAGAATGCAGTTTTACTAAATGCATTCACAAGAAGAATGTAATATTTCTTTGGAATTATTATCCAAAGGTAACTCCTTAAGAGTTACCATTTACTGTTATAACTCTTTCTAGAGATATGTAACTTTACTTACTCTTGGTTGTCTGTGTTCCTTTTAGATATTTCCATCCCTGAAAAGTCCAAGCTTAAATTTGTTGAAAGGGTACCACTTGTGCCAAAAGTAAGAAGAGAACCTAAAAATTTGAGTGACATACGGGGACCTTCAACTGAAGCTACTGAGTTCACAGAAGGCAATTTTGCAATTTTGGTGAGTGAAGGAAGCTACAGATTAAAAACAAACAAAAAAAATTTCAAAGTCTTCAATTCTAGTCTCTTCCTTCAGTCTATATTAGAAGTGCCTCACAGGGATGCCACATACTAGCTGCCCTTTAAACAGATGTATAGAGGCTACTAGGTACCCTGTATACATATATCTTTTTAAATGTAGAATGAAAATACAGTGGTTCTCCCTTATCTATGAAGGATACATTCCTAGTATCCAACTGGATGCTTGAGGCTATGGATGATGCTGAACCCTATGTACAAGCATTGTGATACCATGACAGTGCATCTAATAACCTAGAGGGCTACTGAGTGACTAATAGATGGCCTAAATAGCACAGTTACATACTGGACAAAAGATAATTCATGTCCAGGTGGAATGGAGTGGAAAAGGATATCTTGCTGCTCAAAACAACATGCAATTTAAAAACTCATGAATTGTTTACTTCATATTTTTTCATTTAATATTTTCAGACTGTGGTTGACTGTGGATAACTGAAACCACAGAAAGAGAAACTATGAAGGAGTTGGGGGAACTACCATAATATAAAAGCAGAAGAAAGACTAATTTGCCCAGCCAGACCATGAGATCTCTTCAGACTCTTAGTAAAAATAAAACTATCCACAACTTCAGCTATGAGGCAGCTGTTCCTTTGTTGAGTAACTTCCATAAAAACTAATTGAGTAGCTGTACAAACAGGTGCACTGGGCTTTATGTTTCATCCAGCAGGGAGACATTTCAAAGTTCATCAGCCTGCATGAATAGCCCCTGCTGACCTCTTAGAACCTCATGCCCACTTCTCCAGCCACCCTGGCTTTTACTCCCATTCAGCAAGCTCTTTACTTTGTCAGGTCTTTACGTAAACTGTTCCTCTACCTGGAACTCATTCTCTTGCCTTAACTAGTTTTTATTATTTTGTCCTCAGCTTTAAATGTCACTTCTTCAGAGGCCTACCCTGGCTCACCACTGGAATGGGTCTACCATACTCTTTTATTACCATATGCTAGGCTTTTCCTCCATGGTACTTCTTAGTAAGAACTTACATTTTCATATGTATCTTTGAGGCATGGTTTCTAAAAAAGGGAGACATAATAAAACCCACTAAAGACATCTAAGTTCCCGTGTGTTTCTAATTCTCTCATTTACTTTTAGGCATTGGGAGGTGGTTATCTCCATTGGGGCCATTTTGAAATGATGCGCCTGACAATCAACCGCTCTATGGACCCCAAGAATATGTTTGCCATATGGCGAGTACCAGCCCCTTTCAAGCCCATTACGCGCAAAGGAATTGGACAGCGCATGGGGGGAGGCAAAGGTGCCATTGATCATTATGTGACACCCGTGAAGGCTGGCCGCCTCATAGTCGAGATGGGTGGGCGATGTGAATTCAGAGAGGTACAGCATTTCTTGAACCAGGCTGCCCACAAGTTGCCCTTCCCAGCAAAGTCTGTGAGTCGTGAGACCCTAGAGAAGATGCGGAAAGATCAAGAAGAAAGAGAACGTAACAACCAAAACCCCTGGACCTTTGAGCGTATAGCCACTGCCAACATGCTTGGGATACGGAAAGTACTGAGCCCATATGACTTGACCCAGAAGGGGCGATACTGGGGCAAATTCTACATGCCCGAACGGGTGTAGTGAGAGCACAAGGAATGCATGCACGTGAGCTGCTGAGAGGGGGATCTGCACTTTTCTTCTCTACAGCCTGACCATTAAAGACTCCAGGTATGTCTTAGGTTATATCTAAGAAGCAGTGTGTTATCTGTTTTTTTTAAATTAGAGTGTAACCTGAGGGTATAACTTCTCATTGGTCACCTTTAATCCCTTAAGAAATTAAGAATGATTAATAAAAACAAAGTTCTTGGTTCTTGTGGATTGTGAAATAAATGTCTTCAGGAATGAAACAGATGTTCGCATTTCATCACTCATGAAAGTCTGACTTAAAATGTCCGCCCTTGCCTTTCATGTGTACACACTTCAGGAACTAGTTTCCATGACATTTACTAGTTAGAGATACAAATGTTTTTGGAGTAGTCACAAAGAAAATAATGACAATAGGTTAATGGATTCAAGAGATATTTATTGGTGCCATCTACCCATCTTCTTTGAATCTGGAAAGAGGGGATGTTGGACAATATGACAAGGAACATAGCTTTTAGCAAAGGAACTTAAAAGTTGAAATTACATGGTGCCTCCTAGTCTGGAGGTCTCCAAGGAGGGGAGTATTAGGCTCTTTGTGTCTCTGCAGGATTAGCACAGTGCCGTATGCCATCTGGCACACAAATTACCACTGCTGGATGAATGAGGACCCCATGTGATTCAAATTCCCATGGTTCCAGCACCCTGTTTATAACAAGATTAACCCATATTTCAGAGCTAGCCAGTTATAGCCCCTATTCAAACTAAAGGAAACACAAATTACAAGAAATGTTAAACCATTTGCTTTTGAAAATTAATAGAAAGCACACATAAAAATGTCATTTTTATCCCATTTTCTTAAAAAAATTACATCTCCAGAAAAGAAAATAAGAATTTATCACCGACTTTCAGAAGTACACATCTGCACAGTTGGGTGGTCCTCAACAAGTCATGTACTATGAATTTTTAATGTATTTTTAGTGATCCTTTTGCAGTGTAATCACTAAGTAAATCATTCATATTGGAACTCACATATACATAGTTTTTAAAAGGGAACAGAACAACCTTGAGTTGGACACAGCCTCCGGACCACTTCTGTGCTGGTGCATTCCAACCAACAGTTTCAGCCTGCAATACATACCACGAAGAAGTAAAGCAAGCGACCACTTACTCCTCCTTTCTTACCTCACACTTCACCTGTTTGTGTGGACCACAGAGCATGGTATGTTGACTGTTGGAGGTTCAGTCTTGATATAAACATGTTTCTTTTGTTGGGGGTCCAACCATCTTCTTTACAGAAAGAGGCTACTAATAGGACTCCACCATCACCACCCACAAAAAAAAAATGGGGGGGGGCTGTTAAGTGTATCAGCCCAGTGGCTGTCAGCTTTCACAGCTTCTGACAATAAAAAAAATAAGTAAAAAAATTTTTAAAAGGTTCCCGTTGATGCCTTTAAAGAGTCAATCCCAAGCATTCATCCATGAGTGGAATCACAACTTAATAACAGATCGCTGAGTCAGCAGATATTTGAGCACCTGTGAGTGGCAGGCACTGTGCTAAGCACTGGGGACAGAAAAGTGAGCAAGACAAGGCCTGGTACCTCCCAATTTGAAGACTACTGTTGGACCCTGAAGAAGGAAGAAGATATATAGTTGGTCAAGGGTGAGACCTAGAAGAGCCTTAAAAGCAGAAGTAACAGGTGTGCTGATCTTAGTTCACAGCAGTTCACAGAAGACCCTGTTGAACTGGGTGTGCTGTAGGAACTGCCTCTCCACAGCCATCCTGTTGGTGTGGGCTCCAATCGTCATCTCCTAAGTAGGTACCCATTATGCCTATTGATGTACCCTGCAGGCCCTTCCTTTAAACCATTTGCCTAACCAACTACATATTGCTGTGCCCTCTGTTCCTTCATTCCTTCCCCCTCCCATTTCCATATTTGCATACATTCTCCCTTTGCATAACGTAATAAGTAGTTGATTGATGCCTTGTGTCATAATAAGTTGCCTAATGGAAAGAGGTGTAGCTGATGAGGAGTCTGCAGTGGAGAAGTGATGACCCCACAAAGGTGGGAGAAGGATTGGAAATGCCACGAAGATCCATCTGTGAGGGCAGAAGGAAATAACAGAAGAATGGAGGGGGAAAATCATAGATTGTAGAGCATGGTATTTTATTTTCAAACAACTCCCTCTTCAGTAGGGGTAAGACAGTATTCACAAGGTTACACTAACTTATCCTAACCCCAGTTCAGGGTCCACCTAATGCAAGAGCTAATTTCTCATTCTGCCATTCCCAGACACCAAGGCTCAATTTTTACAGCAGGAATCAACAATTTGACCTGTACAAAGCATTCTGCTCCCAGGTGCAATTATGGGACAGATTTCTGCCTCCTTTCTTCCTTGCTCTCCCACTGACTGCTACCAGCTCCACTCATTTTTATCTGAAACATCCTTTTCCTTAGTTTACTCTTTACCTATTCTAGCACCTCATCACACACAGATTGGGGAAACTGGCAACAAACAGTGAATGCTCCCGAACACAAGAGTGTTTAGTGAAAGCAGACCTGACCCTCCTCCCCGAAGACAGCTCACCTTTTTCAGGAAAATATGCTCCCAATGGTGGAAGCCAAGATGATCACAAGGATAACACAGCAGATCATGATCATGATCTTCTTCTGCTCATCCAGACAAGGAAAGAAAAAGCACATGAGCAATGACATCACTGTGAAGGAGACAGTTCTGACTAAAGGAAGACAGGTGCCTCTGAACATGGAGGAGGGTACAAAGGGAAAAGGAGCAGCAGAAGGGAAGAGTGATGGATCTGGCTTCTGGAACCCGGAGTGTTCACAGAAAAACAGCAGGGTGCTCTGAACGAGTGAACAAATTCTTTTGTGGGAAGTACCTCAACTCTGAAACTCAAGTACAGTTACACCACATTCTTTGGGAGTGAAGCTACTTTCAAAAAATTGAACTTTCTAAACCATCAGAGTCCTAAAACCTGAACAAAAACCACCACATGGTGGCACCAGATCACCAAGTGTTTGCAGGGAGATAAGAGACAGAACTGTTTTGCAATCATTAGAAAGTCATTTATTTTTAAATTAGCAATAAAATAATCAAATTTACATTTTAAAAAAAATACAAAAACCCTTCATGTGTTGCATTCCAAACTTAAAGCCCCAGGCCTCAGTCTCAGATGACAGTAAAGGCCTGAGATTACAGCCAGTCTTCTAACATCATAGCCATGGGGAGAAGGGCATCCCGTGGCTCTGTTTGAGTGCTGGGTAGTGAGAAGTGAGGAGCCTTTGCACAGGAAGCTAATTGGCAGTGCCTGGATCAGGGTGCTTTCTCTGCCTTAGAAAGCATTACTGTCAAAGCTGAAATTCAGCTAGTACCCAAAATCAGGGAGACTGACAGGGATCTAAGGGGCTACCTACAGCTTAGCAGTCACTACACGAAAATTTCCTGGCTGTTGCTTTCTCTGTGACAAGAACTGAGGAAAACAAAGAACCTGTCAAGCTCATTCACCCAGTAGCAGGTAGTCTCAGGTCTCTCCCAACTAACTCCATCCAAGACAGGACATCCCATAGGTCATGTGGGTTGCTATAGGATGTTCTCAAGGAAAGCCTAGTGGAGGCAGCAGACAGGGAAAGGTGTCAAACCATTACACCTCTACCTGCTGCACAGAAACCAGAAATCAACTCAGTCCTCAGTCAATATCTCATCTGATTCTCCCAGTTCTCTTCTAGAAAACAACTTTGTTGATAACATAAGATGATCATAATTCTACAATGATTCATTTGCAGGTAAACAAATGCAACATATCTAATTTTTAGTCTAGTTCAAAAAAAATTTTTTTTTAATTTTTGAGGTCATAGATCTTTCTTTTCTAGTTTCCTATTTCCTGAGAAACAGACACATATATGTACATGCATCTCACATACACATTTTTAAAAATACACCTGAACACATGAGTGACTGAACACTCAGCCTCATGAAACCTTTTCAGAGTCTGAGACTCTAGCACCTTGTCCCCAGCCCAATTTTAAATCCCTAGTTAATTTTGGCCTCAGGGCAACAGCTTCACAAAGAGTCACTCCAAAGGTGAAAAGCCAGTTTCCAAAATTCATAGGGAAACAAATATTTGAAATCCTCAGCCTTTGAAAATGGCAACCTCAGATGACTATCATCCTGGTCCCTCTTTGAGTAACCATGAGAACACAACCTAAAGACAGACCAAATAGCCCCCAGGTCGATCTTAATTTGAAGTTGAATTTCAAGCAAGTCAACTCTTTGGACCAAAATGGCATCTGCCAGTCACTCATGTTTTCAGGACCCACAGGACTGGCATCCTGCCACGCAGAAGTCCCCCATCAAAACCCTATTGTTGCCAAATTTAGAAGAATCCATCTGCTTTGTTAAAGATACTCCCCTAGAAAAATACACTGTAATTTCTGGGAGTATACTCCATGAGGTAGAAGATGCAGCACCTTGGGATAGTCTCACATGGGATTTCCAAGGTGCAAGGCATAATTTGACACACCACAGGAGGGAAAAAGCTGGGTCAGTTCATATGGTCCAGGAGGAAAGGTACTTCAGTTGCTGGGGCAGGAGTTGGTTTTGAGGAGAACTTGGGGATTGCATCAGGTAGGTTAGATTCCTCCAGGGCTAGATTGATTGCTGAGTCAGGTCCAAGGATGGTTACAAGGAAACAAAGGAACGGGTTCCCTTTGCTCTCAGGAAGGCCATTCAGACTCCATTCCCATCTGAAGATAAAAGTGGTCCCACCAGGCTGGAGTGAAATCAGGTTCTAAGAGAGGCGGGGAGAGGAGCTGATCAGCATACCACGTGAGGAGGAGGAGCAACAGGAGAAACCACTCACAACCCTTGAAGGTGCAATGATCAGAAGCAACTGCAAAAGAATATAACAAATACAAAAAAAGAAAGCCAACCAACAAACCCAGATAGGGCCTGGGATTAAATATTCCACTGCAAAAGAACAAAGATCCCAACTAAGGGAGCAACAGAAAGCAAATTCTGTGGGCCTTGTATAAGTCTGTGTGAGAGAGACAGGCTGTCACAACATTGGGAAGACTTGGGTGGGGGCAATCACTGCTGGCTAAAAACATCAGTTCTCTGGCTCTCCTCTTGAATACTAGGTTCCAGAGCCTTCTGGTACTCAAATCTCTATGCCCTTTAGAAAGCAGAAGGGCAAAATGAAAAGAATATGGGAAAATTTGAATGTCATATTACGACCGCTCCACCTTATAATCTACATAAGCTTGGCCAATTTCTTAACTTCTGAGCTTCAAAGAGTTTCCTCATCTAAACTGGGGACATTGATAGTATCTTAGAGCTATAGCTGATGTATGTCCAGGGAGCATAGTCCCAGCTTGCCTTCACTCCCTCCTATTCAGAGACCTCGTCCCCTCAGGTGGCAAGGATGAGGGTGTCCAAACCTAGGTAACGTAAGTGTTGACTTTGTTAGGGAATATGGAATGAACCATGAGGAGCAACTTTTCAGGAAATTATCATCTTATAGAAGGGGTTAGTCAACTAGAAACAATGTATTAGTCTCCTATCCATGAGGAGTCACCTCAAAAATGATTCATTTACATTCAGGACTCCTGGAAATGGGCATGAATTTGCAAGGGGCACCTGAATTTGGAAGGCATCTATCAACCAAGGATATGGGAAGATAGCTATCACACCTTTTT